AGTTTCGACACTCAATTATCACTTACGTTACCAGCCAAAATTCAGCTCAAAATAATAGGAACAACAAAAAAACCCAAAGAACACCCCCCCCCAAAAAAACCCCCACAAATTAGTCCAGTGGTTAATGGACAAGTGTCCACATCACAGATTCCACCATCACAATTTTCATTCTTATTGACCTGGAAACTTCCATCCCAGCACAAGTCATGGTTTAAGCACATTGCTGGAGTAGCGTGAAAAAATTTCACTAATTTTCACTAATGGGAAAGGGTCCAGGAGAGCTGGCTATATTTTAAAGAAGCCTTATTGAGGGTGCAGGAACAAACCATCCCAATGTGCAGAAAGAATAGCACATATGGCAGGCGACCAGCTTGGCTTAACAGTGAAATCTTCGGTGAGCTTAAACTCAAAAGGAAGCTTACAAGAAGTGGAAATTTGGATAGATGATGAGGGAGCAGTATAAAAATATTGCTAGAGCATGCAGAGGTGTAATCAGGAAGGCCAAGGCACAATTGCAGTTGCAGCTAGCAAGGGATGTGAAGGATAGCAAGAAGGGTTTCTAAGGTATGTTAACAACAAGAAGAAGGTCAGCAGGGGTGAAAGTTACTTAGAGGACTTACGCTGGAGTCCTGACCAGGGGGCGTGGCCTCAACCGGAAGAGGCAGGGCCTTTAAATACTCGGGCCCTTTAAATCACCCCCGGCGCTACCAGCTGCAGAGGCAGCTGGGAGCCCTGGGGCTAAGGGGCTATTTAAAGGGCCTGGGGCTCCGGCCGCTGCGGGGAGCCTCGGGCCCTTTAAATCACTGCCAGAGCCCTGCCGCCGCTACCCCGGGGCTCCAGCAGCGGGGTTCCAGCAGTGATTTAAAGAGCCCAGGGCTCCCCGCAGCGGCCAGAGCCCCGGGCCCTTTAAATTACTGCTGGAGCCCTGCTGCGCTATCTTGGGACTCCGGCAGCGGGGCTCAGGTGACGCTTTAAAGTGGCCAGGGCTCTGGCCACTGTAGGATTTAAAGGAGCCCTGGGACCTTTAAATCGCCAGCTTGGGCAAGCCAGTCCGGTCCGGCACGGCATATTGGCTCTTGCCGGTATGCCATACCGAACCCGACCGGCTTACTTTCACCTCTGAAGGTCAGGGAATGGGGAAGGCAACATAGTGATAGATGATGTGGAAAAAGCTGAACTATTCAGTGCTCCCAGACAACTTCACTGAGCAACACAGTATTGGGAGGAGGTGAGCAGCCCTCAGTGGTGAAAGAACAGGTTAAAGACTATTTAGAAAAGCTGGACATGCACAAGTCCATGGGTCCAGATCTAATGCATCCAAGGGTGTTGAGGGAGTTGGCTGATGTGACTGCAGAGCCATTGGCCATTATCTTTGAAAATTCGTGGTGATCGGGGGAGGTCCCAGATGACTGGAAAAAGGCAAATATTTTTAAAAGGGAAAAAAGAGAACCCGAGGAACTACAGACCAGTCAGCCTCACTTCAGTCCCCAGCAAGATCGTGAAGCAGGTCCTCAAGGAATCCATTTTGAAGCATTTGGAGGAGAGAAAGGTGATGAGGAACAGTCAGCATGGATACACCAAGGACAAGTCATGCCTGACCAATCGGATTGCCTTCTATGATGAGATAACTGGCTCTGTGGATATGGGGAAATCAGTGGATGTTGTATATCTTGACTGTAGCAAAGCTTTTGATACAGTCTCCCACAGTATTCTTGCCAACAAGTTAAAGAAGTATGGATTGGATGAATGGACTATAAGGTGGATAGAAAGCTGGCTAGATTGTCGGGATCAAAGGGGAGTGATCAATGGCTCGATGTCTAGTTGGCAGCCGGTATCAAGCACAGTGGGCCAGAGGTCAGTCCTAGGGCCGGTTTTGTTCAACATCTTTATTAATGATCTGGATGATGGGATTAATTGCACCCTCAGCAAGTTCGCAGATAACACTAAGCTGGGGGTAGAGGTAGATACGCTGGAGGGTAGGGATATGGTCCAGGGTGACTTAGACAAATTGGAGGATAGGGGCAAAAGAAATCTGAGGAGGTTCAACAAGGAAAAGTGCAGGACTCTGCACTTAGGAAGGAAGAATCCCATGCACTGCTACAGGCTGGGGACTAACTGGTGTGGGGGGAAAATGATCAGGGCCTAAACTTTAGTTAAGCAGTCTGTATAGTATGGCCTGAAGGTAGAAAAAGGGGGGGGGGAGGTAGAAAAAGAAGGGTAAAGAGAAATCATAAAAGCAGAACTAATTGTAGAAACTATAAAAGCAGAACTAACCATTTGTAACAGCTTATGATTAATAGCTGCCAGGTGACAGAGCAAGAAACCACAAAGGGCAAAAGTAAGGGAAAAATGGGAAAAGCTTGCTTTGCTTTATTCCTTATATGGATGTAAAACTTTAAGGAAGCATATGTATTTTGTGTGCTTTTATCCTATATAAGCTTTTGCATTTTATCTATCAGGGGGGTTGGGGTGAGGGGGGCTGCCTTGGCTGACTCCCCCATGCATGTATGTTTGATTGATCAATAAAGGAGCCTCAGGCTGGCTGATCCAAAATCAACTGTGTGGTCAATTTTCCACAACACTGGCTAAGCAGCAGTTCTGCAGAAAAGGGGTTACAGTGGACGAGAAGCTGGATATAAGTCAGCAGTGTGCCCCTGTTGCCAAGAAGGCCAATGACATATTGGACTGTATTAGTAGGAGCACTGCCAGCAGATTGAGGGAAGTGATTATTTCCCTCTATTTGGCACTGGCGAGGCCACACCTGGAGTATTGTGTTCAGTTTTGGTCCCCCCACTGCAGAAGGGATGTGGACAAATTGGAGAGAGTCCAGCGGAGGGCAACAGAAATGATTAGGGGGCTGGGGCACATGACTTATGAAGAGAGTCTGAGGGAACTGGGGTTCTTTAGTCTGCAGAAGAGAAGAATGAGGGGGGATTTGATAGCAGCCTTCAACTAGCTGAAGGGGGGTTCCAAAGAGGATGGAGTTCGGCTGTTCTCAGTGGTGGCAGATGACAGAACAAGAAGCAATGGTCTCAAGCTGCAGTAGGAAAGGTCCAGGTTGGATATTAGGAAACACTATTTCACTAGGAGGGTGGTGAAGCACTGGAATGTGTTACCTAGGGAGGTGGTGAAATCTCCATCCTTTGAAGTTTTTAAGGCCCGACTTGACAAAGCCCTGGCTGGGATGATTTAGTTGGTGTTGGTCCTGCTTTGAGCAGGGGATTGGACTAGATGATTTTCTGAGGTCTCTTCCAAACCTAATAGTCTATGATTCTAGGACCTGCCTTTATCATATCCCTTCTGAGGAAAAAAAGAAAATCGTACTTTCAACCTGACACCTTCCAGAAGTGCCATATATTTTTTTTAAAGGTTGCTAAAGTAAATCGTTTGCTACATAAAACAAATTTCCATGGTTATGTTGGACTAAAATGGGTTTCTAAAATGTAGCATGTAGAGCTTTTTGGGAACAGGAATTTCCATTCTATAGGAAATTCCAACTTTTCGAAAAATGTTTAGAATTGGAGCAAAAGACAAATTCCATAATTTCCCATGAAACAAACATTCAAAAATGTTTTCTTTTGATGGAGATGAAACATCAATATAAAATTAATCAAAACAAAGTTGAACTGTATATAATAATAAATATATTAATTTTAATATTGTGATATCTAAAACTCACAATGAAATGTGTTGACATTGTCAAAATGAAACATTTCAACTATTTATCTTAAAAAGTTTTATCAAAATTGACCCATTCCCACAGAATATTGGTCTTTGATGGGAAACTCTTATGTCAATTTTTTTTCGGATTAGAGGGGAATCCTCATTGTGTGTATTGTTTCATGTGCATTACAAATATAATTTAATACATTTACATGTATTGAAAAGAACTTGTGCGTTTGGACATGAAGTAAAAATGTGCTGCAAATCTGCGGTTTCAGTTTTTAGGTCTAGACTATTATAGTCTTTCATGTTTTATTCCCTCAAATGGACAGCTGGGATTTAACATGCTTAGTTAAGGAATACAATTTTGGATCCCTCACTGTCATTGACAATGCTATACTAAATTTATTTCCTGATAGCCTGCCATGTTAGCACCTTCCTGCTAACTGGATAGGTCTCCTACAGAAAAAAATAACCGCTTAAATCTCCAGCTTCTTCTTGTTGCCATGACAAAGCTTTCAGTCTTTCTTCACAAAAACTTTTACAGTGTTAGTTTTTCAGTGTGGGCATCTAAACACTCTTCTTAGTGTATGCGCACCATGCCTTAGGTGGCACGTGACCAGGATTCATCACCAAATTTGGTCCGCTGGTTGGTTCATTGACTTCCCCAGCTGAGGACGGGTACTGACAGGAAGTGCGACTTGAATGCTGATCCATGCTGATTTAGACTGAGTCAAAACTACCATTCCTTGTGTACAGAAATGAACATTTTCATGGGCATTTGCAAATTTAGACCATGATCCTGTATTGTGATCCACACAGGAAGACTATGACTCCTGCATGGAACTCCATTATTTCAAATCCAGTTATTTGGGGCCTAAATGCAGTATGCAATCTTACTGTTTCTGTCAGAGATAGAAATGTCAGATCAGGCATTCTATCACCTCCTAAACCAATGAGTGATTCAATAGAGTACACCTGAACTGCTGGTACACACAAAAGATACAAAGCATTTTTTTAAATGTATCTATTAAGATGTATAAACAATTAAGCACCACTCCATGCTCTGGATGTTCATACACAACAATTTTCACAGTATCTTAATAGGCTGCTTATCCATTCTATCAATAGATATACATATATTCACCAGCAACCATAGTAAGCTAAGCCTCCCTCACTGGCAGGTCACCTATAAAGCGCAATAGAAGACAGCCCTGTGGGCTAAACTCACACAGTTTGCCTGAGCTCTCCTCCTCATCGTGGTTCCTGCAACTTTTCACAATTTTTCACATTTTTTTTTAATCTCTTACTGAGCTTCTTTGTCAGGTTGAACTCACCTTTGAATAGGGCAAACTGCCTTGAGCAGAAGGTCAAGCAAGGATATTTCCAGATGACCTGAGTTTATATGGTTTCACAGATTCCCCCGTAGGTAGACTAATAAAAAAATGATGAGACGAAATGAATACCAAAAATCAACAATGATAGAAAGTTTCAATTTTTAGAAAGATGAACTTATCATTTGTGGCAATTGCCATTTAGGCCAGCTCATGGCCTGTTTTAAAGCTGTTCCTGTCTATCCAGTACATGGCTGTACATGCTACAAATCCATCTATAATATCATAAAGACATTAAACATTGAGAGATGGAAACAATCAACAATAGTTTGAAATGTTGAATAAGACTATTGCTCTTAAATTAGTGCTCTTTTATCATGCTGTAAGGTTTTGTGTTTTCCTCGCATAGTCTTCTGAAGGGATGGTAGGGTCAGACAACAACTTGCCCTAGGCAGCAAGGAGCAGCGCACACTACACACTTACATCAGGCCCCAGATGTCAGAGTAACCATACATGGGCTTTAAGTCCCTTTACATCTGCACTGGCTATGGCAGAGCCCAGACTGTGCTACTTGCTGCTGTCCACTAACCTGTCTTTGTAGAAGACCATACAGAAAGGAAACAAGATAGGTATTCTGGGGTAGGGAAGTGTCTAATCAAGTTCAGGGTGTAGGGAGGAAGCAAATATTTTCACTCCGCTCATCCCCCTAGAGTACCTAGGGGAGGGAAGGAGGAAATGGAAGTGATCACTGCCCAAAGACATTAAAAGTGGGCCAGGATAGGAGAAGTAAGGCTACTAGTGGATGCTGGACTGGGTGAGGTTCCTGAGCTGGAAAATGGTGGAGGGGGTGCCAGGCATAGGTGGGAGGGAAGGAGAATGTTGGTTTGGATGCTGATAGGGTTAGCAGCGCACCAAAGGTATTGTGCTCTCAAACACAGATGATACTTCGAATTTTGAAGTCGAGAATGGTATCTAAATGGTAGCCAACTGGTTAGAGGAGAAAGAGATGATGCCAATAGGCTGGGAATGAAATCCTGAGTGTACGTTGCGAGAGATTTTTGCCAAATCTTGTGAAACCTTGCACAAAACGGTCAAAACTGGCAATATTGCTGGATCCTTGATTGCTTCTGGAATTCCAGGGCTCATTATTAGCCAAAAGCTCCTTTTTATTAGTGTCTACCTAGACGTGTGTGGCCTTTCAGAACTGGGCCTCAACAGTAATGGATGCCACCACTTCTACACTGTTACTTCAATGCATTCTAATTTGTGACACATATGAAGACTTCTTGTAAATTACATCAGCTACAGAATATGGTTGCCCATCTGTTAGTTGGTGCTAGTTTAAATAAACATATTACAACAGGTCCTCAATCACACCATTGAATTATACCTACATACGAGTACAAGGCCAAAGGTTTGACTCTGCTTTATAAGCAGGGCTAGGTCCTGGCTATCTGAGCACCCATCTCTCTCTCTCTCTCTGAGTCACCAGGATAGTTGAAGTCCTTTGGGAAGACTGATAGCCCTTACATTTAAACCTGTGGCTGGCAGGGCATTCTAAATGGAGAGAAAATTTAAGTGTTAAATGAAAATTGACCTTAATCTTTTCAAGGCATATTGTTTTATAAATAATAAGCAGATTATCTTTTTTTTTAATTTTCAAAGTCCCCTTTGAAAAAGTACATGGCATTGAATGTTTATACATCTAATCACACTAGGCCAGATTCCACCACACTCCCTACTGCTAAGTAGTACCTTACAGCACGAGGTGCCCCACTGATTTCAGTAGATCCTCTAGAAAGGGTCAGAACTGAGGACCAGATTCTTATACCACTTACTCATGCTGAATAGTATCTTACTCCATGAGAGAACTCATTGAAATCACTGGGACCTCTTCTGGAATAAGCTGCTATTCAATTGAACTCAGTGGGACTTCTCTTGTAACAAAGTTCCTGCTTCGTATCATAGAATTATAGAACTGGAAGGGACCTTGAGAGGTCATTTAGCCCAGTCCCCTGCACTCATGGCAGGACTAAGTATTATCTAGACCATCCCTGAGAGGTGTTTGTCTAACCTGCTCTTAAAAATCTCCAGTGACGGAGATTCCACAACCTCCCTAGGCAATTTATTCCAGTGCTTAACCACCCTGACATTTAGGAAGTTTTTCCTAATATCCATCCTAAACCTCCCTTGCTGCAATTTAAACCCATTGCTTCTTGTCCTATCCTCAAGGCTCATAAATTCCAGCCCTCTATTTTTAATAAATGCTGAACATTGTAGTTCATTTGAAAAGAAAAAAAAAGTAAGTTTTCTGTCATTGTAAAGCAGCTAGGGATAGATGTAGTTTCAGCACAATGAAAAGCAATGGGTAATAGTACAAGATGTACAGAGTTTTGCATTTAGATTCATGATCATATTATTAGCAAAGAGATTAAAAGAGACACAAAGCTACTGGGCTATACTCTTGTACTTTCGGTCCTTTATCCATTTTCAAGTTTTGTCTGTGACATAAGGCCTTTTTAATGCTGAGATTAGTAGCCTTTAATGGGATATGAAATAGATAAGAAATAACTGAATGGAATATAGCATGTAAATATCACGGATTACACTTTTAAAAATGAACTTGTCCTGAATTAGAGCTGTAAAGAACACACACAGCACATTTTACACTTTGCTGCACAGGTTCTGAAAATTAACAGTTTTATCATTTCTATGCATCAAGTTAAGAGTAATTTGCATCCCATAATGGTTCATTTTAGTAAAGAGTGAAGTATCTGAAGTTTACACATTATAAATCTATTTTATTAAATGAATGTGAATAATTGGCATTTTATAACCAATGTCTCACTGTGTTATCGCTAAGCAATGAATTCCTCATAATTTGTTTTGAAGTCCAGGAGACACCTTTGTACTTTCTAGTTACAGAGGCAGGTTTTTTATCCATTCGGAAAGACAATTTTTGATATACTAATCTACAAAAAAAAAAAAAAAAAAAAAAAATTAACCCTCAGTGCTTAGCCTATTTAGCAAATAATCTGATCAGTTTATCAGTTTTTAGGTAATTTTATATATATGCTATGCCAATTAAATATTTATGGCTTTGGTATAACAAACAATAGCTAACAGAAAGCATGCTAATTGAATTGAAGTGATGTAATTGGTGCATTTTGAGATACTACTTCCTACAGAGACAGTTGCTGGATTTTAGACGTTCAAGTTGCAGATTCACTTTATAAAGCTGTTTCAAACAACTGTAAAAGTTTTCTAGTCATTAAGCAGGACTAATACACCTAGATTACCCATATTAATGTGCAATACAAAGCTTTTAGAGCCCTTAAATATACAGGGTTTGGACACAAACCCGTATAATGTTAGATACTGTTGGTGACTTATTATATAAAGTGATTTTAAATGTTTAGGATAAAGTTTTTATATGGTTTCTTCTTATTAATATGGACTTTGGTACTTTTCAAAATGGAGTCAAATCTCCATTTTGTCTTCAGAGGTGGGAAAATTAAGGCGCCAAAGCTGTGGCTTGAGGGCTGGTTCAAACCACTTGGAAGTGCCTTGTAACTGCCATCCCCTCAGAACTTTCCCACCACTCACTCTTTATAAGGAACTGTGCCACGTCACCACGGTGCTGTCCGTTCAGGAGGCAGCCGTGTGCGGTCAGGTTTGTGTGGGTCTTCGGATCAAGAGCTGTGAAGGATCCTGTGTCACCATCAACTTATCTGCCATCCAGGGTCCTTTGGTCCACCAGTCAGCAGCTTCGGTTCTGGTGGCTTGTCACCATCAAGCAGCTTACCACCATCCAGAGTTTCTTCCCAAAGGCCAGCGTTTGGCCCGAGGGTAGGAGGTCCTGGACCCACTACTCACTACCATCTGACCTGACCATAGATGACATCTGATTAGCAGTAGGATATACTGGGGATTTGTTTTGTTCTTGTTGCCATGGGAGGGGTATATTGGGTCTGAGCTTCAAGCTCTTTTGTTGCAGTCCACTGTTTACTGAGTTTATATGTTTACTTATGTTTTTTCCCTTATGCCTTTCATGTAAATCACCCTTAATACAATACTTACCTGTTTCAACATAGCTTTTGTCTCTCCTCTTCTTTCCTATACCACACTTCTGATGGAGGGTGGGGCACAGGAAATGCTTCCTCAGGTGATAGACCCTGATAACAAGGCCAGGAACCTGTACCTGTAAAAGGGAAATAGAGAGGCATATTGGGGTTCATTTAGTTTTGATTTTCCCTGGTTACTATATATTGGTTTTTTAATCATTGGGACATACCTTCAGGGTGCCAAAAAAGACATATATGTCATTATAAAAATATAGTGAAATACACTTCACTTTTAGGCCCTGATCATACACATAGTTACACAATTGCTTAACTCTAAGTCAGGGCTGCCCGGGGGGGGGGAGGGCAAGTGGGTAGGGTTACCATTCGTCCGGATTTACCCGGTAATGATCTGGAAATGGGGTTGAGCAGTTAAATAGCAAAAATTTTTGATGATGCAAAATTACTTAGGTTAGTAAAGTCTAGGGATGACTGCAGGAAACTTTAGAAAGACCTACCAAAGCTTGATAAGTGGGCAATGCAATGGCA